AGCAACCAGCTCTGTCCCCACAGCAACCAGCTCTGTCCCTGTGGCACCTGGAACCATCCTGGTGGGTGCAGTGCTGTGGCCGTCCGTTAATCTGCTGGTGGGTAAATGGATGGACGAATGAACACATCGTCAGGAGTGAGCAGTGAGCGGGGCAGAGAGCAGCCCAAGGAGGGGTCTGCCCTCCTGGACACGGCATCCAGACCTGCTCCGATGGGGCACAGACAAGAGGGAGGGTGACAGGGGACACGCGGATGGAATGGTGGTGGCTTTGAAGTGCTGGGATAATCTGGCTAAGTGTCAATGGCCTTCAGAGGATGAGTGGGTTATATAACGCTGAGATCATGAGTGACGACTTCACACTGCTGTGGAATTACTTAAAAACAAGGGCGTATGTTCTGTAATGAGGAGAAACGCCCCGAGCAGGAGCCACAGACGGGCCTTCCCGCTGCCCGGCGCTGGGCCGCTGCGGTCCCGCTCCCACTCAGGAAAGACTGAGAAGAGGTAACACGGCATAGGAGGGAGAAACACCCACCGTGACAAGGAAAACGTGGAGAGGAAGCCAGTAGGGGTCTTTCCTCATAGGCATCGCGCTCACTGCCAGAGCCAGGGAAGCCTCCCTGCATCAGACATGGGGACACGAGCTGGAACATTGTAAAGCAAGGGCAGAATACTTCCCGAAGCTTCTGAGGTACGTATTGCAAATACATATGTATTGCAAATAACAGCCTCAAGAGGCTGTTATTTCTCATTTCTTTGAGATTTAAAATGATGCAGAGTGATGGGATTCTCATCCACAGAGAGGGAGGCCACGGGGAAGGCATCAGCCTGGAGTTAGTGACGGGGAAGCTGCTTCTACACACCGGTTCAGGTAACGTGAGCCTGCAAGGAGCCCAGCAAGCTTTGAGATTTAAAATGATGCAGAGTGATGGGATTCTCATCCACAGAGAGGGAGGCCACGGGGACGGCATCAGCCATGGCCCCGGCCTCTCGGGCGGGAGCCTGTCACCTGCTGCTACATCCCAAGGAGCATTTTCAAGGGGTCTTGTTAGCATTTCTCCTAGTTTACTACGAATTAGTAATTGCAGAACACACCTTGGGTGTGTGACAGAATCGTTACCATCCATGTTCATTCAGGAAGAGTAATTGGTTAGACAACATATGCTGCAAACAGAGTGAAAGATTCATTCATTGTGCACCTTGTAAATACATTATTTCTGAGTACATGTAAGAATCACAAGAAATCTTCCAGCAGGGAGCAACGGCCCTGTTACTCTGAGATGATTGAGTTTCACCAGTGGATGGAAAGTGATAAACATTTCCAAAGATGCTGTTAAAGTGGGAGTGAATCAAGAGGTTCTGTGTGGTTTACGTGACCACAGTGTGAGCCCAGTGATGAGATGGCAGCTGTTCCAAAGGGTTAAGAATGTTTATCTGCAGGCGGGAAGGTTGAAAAAATATCCTTAGGTTTATCAACACCTGCACACCCGCAGAGAGAAATGATGTGTTATCTGATGCCGGGGCTGGAAATGGGCCATGTATGTGCCTGTGTGTGTGTGTGTGCCTCTGCGTGTGTATGTGCCCCTGGGTGTGTGTGCCTCTGCCTGTATGTGCCTGTGTGTGTGTGTGTGTGCCTCTGCGTGTGTATGTGCCTGTGTGTGTGTGTGCCCCTGGGTGTGTGTGCCTCTGCCTGTATGTGCCTCTTTGTGTATGTGCCTCTGCGTGTGTGCCTCTCCGTGTGTATGTGCCTCTGCATGTGTGTGCCTCTTTGTGTATGTGCCTCTGCATGTGTGTGCCTCTGCCTGTGTGCCTCTGAGTGTGTGCCTTGTGTGCCTCTGCGTGTGTATGCCTCTGCGTGTGTGCCTTGTGTGCCTCTGTGTGTGTGCCTCTGCCTGTGTGCCTCTGAGTGTGTGCCTTGTGTGCCTCTGCGTGTGTGCCTTGTGTGCCTCTGCGTGTGTGCCTTGTGTGCCTCTGTGTGTGCCTCTGCGTGTGTGCCTCTGCATGTGTGTGTGCATGTACAAGCCTCCACATATTAAAAGTGTTTGTGGGAAGCATGCTAATCCTTAGAACAACTTTTATTTTCTTTTCTGTAGGATCAGAAGTGATTGATTTTGATGGAAAAAGTTCCCTGCTTTACAGATTTGCTCAAAATACCAGGAGTCCAGAAAAAGACGTCATTTCTTTGAGATTTAAAACGATGCAGAGTGATGGGATTCTCATCCACAGAGAGGGAGGCCACGGGAACGGCATCAGCCTGGAGTTAGTGACGGGGAAGCTGCTTCTACACACTGGTTCAGGTAACGTGAGCCTGCAAGGAGCCCAGCAAGCCGGTTACGTAGTGTCCTTTGTACTGAGGACTGTGGTACCTCACCTTTTGACCATCATTACAGAGGAGAGTCCTGTGCTTGCATAACACACACTTTATACATTAGTAGTTGACAGAAGGACAGTGGCAGGCGCTTTTTACATCGTGCAAGTTCAGTGATGGCTACATCCTGCAGTTCCTCAGCCTGGGCACTGCTGACGTTCTGGTCCACATGATTCTCTGTGGTGGGGCCTGTCCTGTGGCCATTTGGGTGTTAAGCAGCAGCCCTGTCCCCTACCCACGGGACGCCAGAAGCCCACACCCCAAGCCATCAGGGCCATCAGAAATGTCTCCCGAGGTGGCCAAGTGTCTCTTGGGTGGCAAGTTGTGCTGGTTAGGAGCTGCTGCCCTCTCCTAACAAAACAAGGCCACAGTGCTGCTCCTGAGAGTCCACAGCAGTGACAGGGGAGGGGTGAGTAGGGATGGCGTCATGACAGCACTAGGAGAGGCCAGTGCCTGGGGCATCGTGGTTCTGGATGGGGCCTCACCATGCTGGTTTCCCTCTGCCCAGGCACGGGCACCCCACCCTCACCGCCTCCCGGGGGCTGGTGCTGGGCAGCCTGCTGGACGACGAGCACTGGCACGAGGTGCTGCTGGAGCGCTCCGGCCGGCACGTGAGCCTCATGCTGGACAGGCACTCGCAGCACGTTTGGGCATGTGGAGGTTGGAGCCTGCTGGGCCTGGACCACGAGGTGCGGTTTTGTCAGTTAGCCCCTGGTGTGACCTCAGTGCCACCCAGTCCTGGGAGAAAGAGGAGCATTGGAGAGAAAAGCCCTTCACAGTGTTCGGAATGCAGAGGGAGGTTCCCCAGCCAGAAGCTCATTGGCTGGCAGCCCTGCAGTACCAGGTCCAGGGACAGGCTCAAAGCAAGAGACAGCTGGAGTCCTTTTAACCCAGGACTCAGGTCTCTTCCCGTCACAGCACAAACGTAATTGCCACCTGTGAGAACTGGAAGAATTTGGCAATGTTTCCACCTAGGTGTGTTAGTCAGCAACAGATTCAATGCACCATCCTATTTCTTGGTTTTCAAAATGCCAACTATACTCAGCACACTGCATACACGCATCTGAATCACACTAAGGCATAACATTTGATGCCATTTTTGTAAGATATTTACAAGGCCACGAACTGTCAAAACAAATGAATAGATGTTTCTATGTTCATTTGGCATAAATGGACGTGGCAGATCCAGCCCCAGACAACTGCTGTCTGCCTGGCACCAGCCACAATTCCAGTGCCCCGAACTCTCAAGGTCTCAGCAAAGACAGCACAGGATATTTCATACACAGATGATTGTACATAACACACAGAGTGGGTACAACCTAAAGTATCTTTCCAGTTTCTTGAACACATTTACTTGTGTGCAGGTTTGTTTCTGTACAGATGAAAACACCTTGTGCATGGACATAAAGAGGTAATGTCCCCTCCCCAGGTACATGTCACACACAGCCAGGCCTGACAGCCCCCTCAAGGGGATCAGTCATGGCTCTGTTACACGTGGCATTAGACAGGGTAGTTCCCTGATGCAGACCCTGGAACTTAAAAGTTGAGCTCTGGGGGAAGAGCACAGCAGGGTGGGGACAGCAGGACAGGGACATGGGGAGACAGGACACAGACTGGAATCTCAGGCCGGGTCCTGGGGAGCAGGTCCCACCGGACCCCGTGGGGCTCTGAGTGGAGGCTGCATCCCAAAGTTTCTCACCTGATTCAGGAGAACCCGCCATCCTCTGCAGACGGCCACCCCAGGGCAATGAAAATTCCCAGAGAGAAAGTACATTAAGGGGGAAGGGAGATGGAGCTGCACAAAACATCATGCAGGGCCAGAGGGGAAGGGGTGGGGCCCGGTGTTCCGGTGTGGGGACCCTGTGTCCCGGCCACTGTCCTCCGACCACCCTGGCGCAGGTGGCAACAGCTCCTTTTCTTCCCAAGTTCCCCAGTTTGAAGCTAAATGACCTTTCCCCCTAAGTGTGGGTGCAGACGCTCCAGCGCGAG